TCCTGTACTGTGTCCGCATTTGTTCAGAGACTGCGGACATACAATGGGCGGCGGGAATACTAGGCTGGCTGCTCTATAAGACGCACAGACATTTCCCCCCCAAGTGTGTCTTATGGAGCGAAATAGTGCCCCATCGTTGGAGTCAGTGGGGGGAGGAATAGTGCCCCATCGTTGGTGTCAGTGGGGGGGGGAGGAATAGTGCCCCATCGTTGGTGTCAGTGGGGGGAGGAATAGTGCCCCATCGTTGGTGTCAGTGGGGGGAGGAATAGTGCCCCATCGTTGGTGTCAGTGGGGGGAGGAATAGTGCCCCATCGTTGGTGTCAGTGGGGGGAGGAATAGTGCCCCATCGTTGGTGTCAGTGACACCAACGATGGGGCACTATTCCTCCCACTGACAGCAATGACACTTAACTAGCCGACCCCTGTTCCAGCACCTACCTGGTTGCAGCAGCACCATCTGTACGGCACACTTACCGGGCGGTCAGCTGTCCTCCTTCCTTCACTTCGGCCTCTCCCTCCCTTGATTTTCGTGGGGCCGCTCGGCTCCGCCTCCTCACCGGTGATTGGCTGCCTGTGTGCCTTTCCTGAGCTACAGTACTGGCGCCCAATCACCGGTGATTAGGCAGAGCCGAGCGAGCGGCAGCGCGGACACGAGTGAGGGAGCGGCCGGAGTGAAGGAGCAGCGCATCCTGGACTGAATCGTCGTGGGACTGGGACCGGAGCCAGGTAAAGAGACAGCAGTCCCCTGCCCGCCCCTGTACTTAGTGTCCCCTGCTGGCGGGCCGGATGAATGTGCTCGGCAGGCCGCATGTGGCCCGTGGGCCGTAGTTTGAGGACCCCTGATGTAGCTGCACTATGTAAAGTAGAACTAAGCTCTCTCAAACACTGACAATTTTTAATCCTTATGTTGCTAACCTTAATAGATAGAAAAGGTATATTTTATATTTTTTTAGGTTGCTTCCTGGTTTCTGGCCTATGCCAAAAGTCTGTCATACATCCCAGAATTCTTCATTGCAATTTTTTCCTGCCATCAGGAGGGGATCTCTCAGCTAAGCACACCCTTCTGCCACATGAATCATCTGCCCTTAAAGTGTTACTAAACCCAGGACCCTGCATCCATATCTATATCTGGTCTGCCACAGTACACACAGCATGGAAATGCAATTATTTTGCATTATTTTGCAAATGTCATACTACTACCAGCCGCAACCTGAACCCTGTCCCCCTCCACTCTGCAGCTGATCAACTCCATCACAGCATCCTCCCCGTCTTGCCCCGACCTGGCTATGACTGCCTATAATGCCGCGCTGTCAACAGCCCTTGACTCACTAGCGCATTTAACCACACAAACTGATCATACAACAACAGACTGATCATACCAAAACTCTCAAACGACACAGTCGTGCCCTGGAGTGACTTTGGCGCAAAACCAGATCCCAATAAGCCTTCACCGACTAGAAATCTGCCTTCCACACCTACACCTCCTCCCTCCACGCCGCCAAACAAGCCTACTTCCTGACCCTCATCAAGACCCTCTCCTCCAATCCTCGCCGAATCTTCTCCACCTTTAACTCTCTACTACTCTCTCCACCCCCACCTCCACCCAGCACCTCACTCACCGCCCTTGAGATTGCCAATCACTTCAAAAACAAGACTGACACAATCCACAGGGACTTCGTCGCTGCTCAAACTCCCTCCAACCCTGTCCACTCTCACATAGCCACCTCCTCATCACCCCTCTCCCACGGCCCCACCACTGCTCTGACCTCCACCTCCACCCCACCCAACATTCCTCACACTGAAGCCCCCTCAACAATCCACACCTTCGACCTTACTACCATCGAGGAGGTCTCCAAGGTCTTCTCTGTTGCCTGCCTCACTACCTGCCCCCTCAACCCTATCCCCTCACAACTCCTATGACCTCCCCCCCACCCCCATCCTACGCTCCCTCACCCACATCTTTAATCTCTCCCGGCACATTCCCCTCCGAAGCATGCACACATCACCCCCATACTTAAAAAGCCCTCCCTGGATCCCAAATGACCCGAACAACCTGAGACCCATCTCCCTGCTCCCATCGACATCCAAACTCCTCGAGCGCTTAGTCTACACTCGCCTAAGCTCTCACCTCAACGACAACAACCTCCTCGATCCCCTGCAGTCCGGCTTCCGTCCCCTCCACTCCACCGAAACTGCCTTACTCAAACTCTCCAACGACCTTCTAACCGCCAAAGCTAATGGCCACTATTCAGTGCTCCTACTCCTCGACCTCTCCGCGGCCTTCGACACAGTCGACCACCCCCCTCCTCCTCAAAAAACTGCACTCCCTCGGCCTCCAAGATTCCGCTCTCTCCTGGCTCTCATCCTACCTGTCACAACGCTCTTTCAGCATTACCTATAATACTACCACCTTCCCCTCTCTGTTGGGGTCCCTCAAGGCTCCGTTCTTGGGCCCCTTCTCTTCTCCATCTACACCTCCTCCCTTGGCAAACTCATACACTCTCACGGCGTCAACTACCACCTCTATGCCAACGACACACAAATCTATCTCTCCACCCCTCACCTCACCCCCTCAGTCTCCGCCCCGAATCACAAACCTACTGAATGACATATCAGGCTGGATGTCGCTCCACTACCTTAAACTGAACCTCTTCAAAACCGAGCTCCTAGTCTTCCCCCCCAGCCCGCACACCACCCCCCCCCACTGACTTCTCCATCACGTCCAACAATGCCACTATCAGACCCGCCACGCAGGCCAGAGTACTTGGTGTCATTCTGGACTCCTATCCTTGCAGCCCCAGGTCCAATCATTAACAAACTCATGCAGACTCCACCTCCGCAACATCGCCAAAATCCGCACGTTCCTAACCCCAGAAACCACTAAACAGCTCATCCATTCCCTCATCATATCACGACTCGATTACTGCAACTCCCTGCTCACTGGCCTGCCTCGCCACATGCTATCCCCGCTTCAGTCGATCCTGAATACGGCAGCCAGACTCATTCACCCTACCAACCGCTCCGTTTCCGCTACCCCCCTCTGCCAATCCCTCCACTGGCTTCCGATTGCGCAATGGATCAAATTCAAAATCCTAACACTGACATAAAAAGCTGTCCACCATACTGCCCCAAATTACATCACCAACCTAATATCCAAGTACCACCCAACACGCTCACTCCGCTCCTCACAAGACCTCCTTCTCTCTAGTTCCCTGGTCTCCTCCTCCCATGCCCGCCTCCAGGATTTCTCCAGGGTGTCACCCATCCTCTGGAACTCCCTGCCCCAACCCATCAGACTATCACCTACTCTCCTCTCCTTTAGGTGCACCCTGAAAACCCACCTCTTCAGGGAAGCCTACCCCACCCCCTGCTAATTCGCCGACCTCCTCCACTCTTCCTACCACTCCATCCCCCCCCACAGCTATCTCCTCCTGTACCACTATCCCCTCCCTCCTAGATTGTAAGCTCGAAAGAGCAGGGCCCTCGAACCCCTCGTGTTTTGCATTGTATTGGTACTGTACTGTCGCATGTTCTGTCCCCCTTTGTAATGTACAGTGCTGAGCGAACTGTTGGTGCTTTATAAATACTGTATAATAATAATAATTTTAGTAAATATAAACTGCTAAATACCTTTTCTCATCAGCAGTTAGAGCAGTCTTGTGACTTCTATCATTGTTCAGCCCCAGCACTAGCTAAAGCTTGTAAGAGTTTTCTTTCTGCTCTGTGAGGATGGAAATCCTCTGACCTGTGTCTGGACAATGCTGATCACATGCACGCTCCCAAGAAAAAAAAAAAAAAACACCTCTAGCAATACACACCAGACTGAGCATGTGCATGCCTACAATTCAGTCTGGAGATAAGAGGTGGTCACTTGAAAAAAAAGTGGAGGAACAGAGAAGAAAGGATCAAACAGCTTTTTTACACAATTCACCTACTCTGCTCACGTTTAAGCGATCTCTGAAAACCCCTCTCTTCAAGGAAGCCTATCCTGCCCTCAGCTAATAATGGAATATTCTATTCCCCCTACCAGTCCATCCCCCACAGTTATTACCTTTTGTACCACTAGCCCCTCCCTCTTAGATTGTAAGCTCCAAGGAGCAGGGCCCTCCTAACCCTCTTGTATTGAACTGTATTGATGCTGTACTGTCTCCCATTATATTGTAAAGCGCTGAGCATACTGTTGGCGCTATATAAATCCTGTATAATAATAATACAGAGGATTAACCCCTGAAGTTCCACATTTAATATAACAAGCATGCTTTACTGCATATACAGATGGATTTTACTGTTGTGGGTTTAGTAACACTTTAAGGTAGCATGAATAGAAATGTCACAAGGTGGGTTTATTTTTTACGTTATTTATCATCAAAATAAAGCAGGGTGACATGGATGGATGGGTGAATTTGGTTTGGTTAAAAAAAAATTAAAATAGTATTTTCAGTTTGTTGTGCTCAGATACAGTTTAGTTCCACTATAATGAATAGTAATGCTGGCCCTTACAGGGATCAAACTTCAGCCTATTCCTGCTGAATTTGGACAAGAGCTGTGTCTGACCCTAAAGGGCATGTTCAGCTTAAGGGAGAACACCAGGCATATAAGCATTAAACTCCAATGATTCCCCCCCCCCCCTTCTTTAAGCTGATACAGAATGTAATGTTTATTTACTAGGGGATGAAGTAACACAGACGACCAAAACTCTGTGGCAGCCAACAGTTTATTCCGGCACTCTCCTTCCTACTCCTATGTAATAATGTTACAATTCAGGACCAGGGGTTTCCAATGCTTCTGCATTGTACCCAATGTCCACAAAAAAAAAAAAAAAATTGGGAACAGAAAAAAGCAACAGGGGAGACTGCAGAGCAAGGTAAATATTCCTGTGAATTACATCATTGGCTAGTAAAGTGACTATGTTCTGCATCATTTGGGAAGATGGACATTGATATTTTAGAAGTGCCCAGAGTTTGGGATTACAGCATATTTCGGAGTAAAAAAATTACATACCTTGAAAATCCTTTCCCACAAACACTACATGTATAGGGTTTGGTAATTCCTCCTTCGTGCGATCTTACATGATAGGTCATGCGGTCTTTTCTTTTAAAACGTTGATTGCAGACTGGACATTCAAACGGTTTTTCATCTGAATGGGAAAGCTTGTGCCTATTTAAATGATAAACATCCCTGAAGGCCTTTCCACACATTTCACAGGCATGGTTTTTCTTAACAGGTTTGCTAGGCTTCTTCACTGGCTGAGGAACTGGCATAGTTGGGATGCTAGTGCTTGCACTAGGAATTGTAGATGAAGATGATGTTGTAACAGTGGACAGGATCCCTGCAATTGTTGAAACCAAGGATGTTCTATTATTGTCTCCAGCAATAGTCGATATGAGTGGCACAACCGGCGCAGTTTGTGTTTTCTTTGGCCGTGACACCAACTTAATTCCTGTGTGGCAAGATTCATGGCGCCTCAAATGGTAACTGTCCCTAAATGCTTTGCTGCAATATGTGCACACAAAGGAGGTTTTAGATTTTTCTTTCTTTATTACAATAGGCTCTTTAAGGGGTTCCGGAGGAGGTTGAGGTTTTTGAGTTATAGGTAAAGGTAACATAGGTTTTTGATCAGGAGGCTCAACTGGTGCTCCCAATAACGGCAGCAAGCTGTTTTGAGCAGCCTGTTGTTGGTGATGATGGTGGTGGTGATGGTGGTGGTGTGAAGCTTCGTGAGCCTGGAAAGAAAAATGGATTTAGAAACATTTCTGCAATCTTTTACATTCCACCTACAAGTGCAATATAAGCATACAGATGCACAGACTAGAGAAAATGAGTTAACCACTTGTCCCCCGCCGTATAGTAGATGTACTGATACAGGGCGGCAAGGCTGCACAAAATCACGCATATATACACACGGGATTTGTATCTCCAGGTAGGGCGCTATTGGCAGCTAGGGATGTCAATCACATCGCCAGTCCAGCACTCGGCAATTGCAGTATAAAGCTGACAGGGAAAAGACCTGTGTGTAAACAAACACAGGTCTCTCTCCTGTCAGCATGGACATGCTGTTTTGTATCTCTCTGCACAGCAGAGCAGAGAGATACAAAACAGAATGCCTTCCTAGTAAAAGAGCACACAGCAAAACACAAACAGCACAGTTAACCTTTTGATCACCGAAAAGTTAACCCCTTCCTGCCCCATGTCATTAGTACAGTGTCAGTAATTTTTATTAACACCGATCACTGTATTAGTGTCACTGGGGATGTCAGTTCCCCCCAGTATCAGAATGCCCACCACAGTCCCGCTATAAGTTGCCGATTGCGCCATTACTAGTATATATTTTATATATATAAAAAAAAAAAATCCAGTATATATACCGCCAGTTGTAGATGCTATAAAACTTTCACATAAACCAATTAACATGTATTGGAATTATAGCAAAGACATGTAGCAGAATTAAATTTAGGCCTAAATTTATAGAGCAAAAAAAAAAACAAAACTGCATGCAGAGGTGATCAAACACCACCAAAAGAAAGCTATTTGGGGGGGGGGGGAAAGAGGACATAAATTTAATTTTTGTATAGCGCTGCATGAGCACACAATTGTTAAAGTTAACAGCGACTTATCGCAAATAAAGTGGCCTGGTCAGGAAGGGGGGCAAATCCTCTGGAGAGCAAGTGGGTAACTCCAATTTGACAACTTACTTTCAGCTGCTCTTGTAGAAGATTTAGAAAAGAAGTCTCACCTAAACTGGAAACCAAAGTCAAGAGTAGGGAAAAAAACAAACAAAACAAAACAAAAAAAAAACCAAAACAAACTCTGAAATACTCCCCCCCAACAAACCTAAGCATTTAACATACAGTATATGTAAAATACAAATACAGGTCATCATTGCATTTTCTGCAGTTTTGTCGCAATTTCACATACATAGAATATCATGGAAATTCTACTGCAAATTGCAAGAAATCGTTCAAAATCTTCACAAGTAGCAGAAATCACACCCAAAATCGAACACTAATCACGAGATTTTAAATCACATCGGTGTGACCGGTGACTTAGTTGAGGGTCAATTTACCAGAAAATAGGTGGTGTTTCAACAAAGCTGCCATTGCAAATTTAAAAAATATGTAAACCCAACATTTCATATTCCTGATATGTACTTGTATGAAAAAGTGTCCTGTTCTCTTTTATGTGAAATCCTGTCAGTCCCTCTGCCTTCCTATTAAAAACTAACCATTCTAAGAACGAGAGCACAGCATGGTCAATTCTCTAGCTATGCTGGGAACTCAGCCTGCTCTCCTCCAATAGTCAGATCTCTGCTGACACAGCCCCCCCTGCACAGCAATGCACTCAAAAGATCAGTGTAGTGACGTTTCTCCTCCCCAGCTCACATGCAGTGAGAACAGAGGGAATATGAACACATACATATATATATATATATATATATATATATATATATATATATATATATATATATATATACAGTCATGGCCGAAATTGTTGGCACCCTTGATATTTCTCCAGGAAATCATGTATTTCTCACGAAACGTATTGCATTAACACATGTTTTGCTATACACATGTTTATTCCCTTTGTGTGTATTGGGACAAAAACAAAAAAAGGGAGGAAAGAAAGCAAATTCGACATAATGTCACACAAACCTCCAAAAATGGGCTGGACAAAAGTATTGGCACCCTTTCACAACTGCGGATAAATAAGAATGTTACAAGCATGTGATGCTCCTGTAAACTCACCTGGGGCAAGTAACAGGTGTGGGCAATATAGAAATCACACCTGAAAGCAGATAAAAAAGGAGAGACGTTCACTTAACCTTTGCATTGTGTGTCTGTCTGTGCCACACTAAGCATGGACAACAGAAAGAGGAGATGAGAACTGTCTGAGGACCTGAGAACCAAAATTGTGGCAAAATATCAACAATCTCAAGGTTACAAAGTCCATCTCCAGAGAACTAGATTTGCCTTTGTCCACAGTGCGCAACATTATCAAGAAGTTTGCAACCCATGGCACTGTAGCTAATCTCCCTGGTCGTGGACGGATGAGGAAAATTGATGAAAGATTGCAACGCAGAATAGTCCGGATGGTGGATAAGCAGCCCCAAACATGTTCCAAAGACATTCAAGCTGTCCTGCAGGCTCAGGGAGCATCAGTGTCAGCGCGAACTATCCGTCGACATTTAAATGAAATGAAACGCTATGGCAGGAGACCCAGGAGGACCCCACTGCTGACACAGAGACATAAAAAAGCAAGACTACAGTTTGCCAAAATGTACTTGAGTAAGCCAAAAGCCTTCTGGGAAAACGTCTTGTGGACAGATGAGACCAAGATAGAGCTTTTCGGTAAAGCACATCATTCTACTGTTTACCGAAAACGGAATGAGGCCTACAAAGAACAAAACACAGTACCTACGGTAAAATATGGTGGAGGTTCAATGATGTTTTGGGGTTGTTTTGCTGCCTCTGGCACTGGGTGCCTTGACTGTGTGCAAGGCATCATGAAATCTGAGGATTACCAAAGGATTTTGGGTCGCACTGTAGGGCCCAGTGTCAGAAAGCTGGGTTTGCGTCCAAGATCCTGGGTCTTCCAGCAGGACAATGACCCCAAACATACGTCAAAAAGCACTCAGAAATGGATGGCAAAGAAGCGCTGGAGAGTTCTGAAGTGGCCAGCAATGAGCCCAGATCTAAATCCCATTGAACACCTGTGGAGAGATCTTAAAATTGCTGTTGGGAAAAGGTGTCCTTCCAATAAGAGAGACCTGGAGCTGTTTGCAAAGGAAGAGTGGTCCAAAATTCCGGGTGAGAGGTGTCAGAAGCTTATTGATGGTTATAGGAAGCGACTGATTTCAGTTATGTTTTCCAAAGGGTGTGCAACCAAATATTAAGTTAAGGGTGCCAATACTTTTGTCCAGCCCATTTTTGGGGTTTTTGTGTGACATTATGTCATATTTGCTTTTCTGCCTCTGTTTTATATTTGTTCCAATACATACAAAGGGAATAAACATGTGTATAGCAAAACATGTGTTAATGCAATACCTTTTTTGTGTGAAATACTTGATTTTCAGGAAAAATATCAAGGGTGCCAACAATTTCGGCCATGACTGTATATATATATATATATATATATAATATATATATATATATATATATATATATATATATATATATATACATACATACATACATCCATTCAGTCGTATCCAAACCTTGGCGATTGCATGGACCGTCACTCGTGACTTTTTCCATGAATTCTCTTAGCAATTATTGTACAGGGTAGGTTGTCAGGTCTTTCCCCAACTCCTACCATGCAGGAGATCCTGCATGGCCAGGGATGAAACTAGGACAATGTAGAGAGGAGCCAATTAACCTACCAGCATGTCTTTGGAGAGTAGGAGGAAACTGGAGTACCCGCAGGAAACCCACATAAGCACAGGGAGAACATGCAAATTCCATGCAGGAGGCATGGTTGGGAATTGAACCCATGACCCATTTACTGCACGGCAGACATGCTAACCACTAAGCCGGGGGGGGGGGGGGGGGGGTGGTGCGTGCGTACACACATTTATTTTTTATTATTTTAGCGGCAGTTCTTGGCACTGTCACTGTGAGAATTAAGGTTATATCCCAGGATTGTCAACAGGTTGAGGGGTTCCATAAGGTTTATTTAGTGCAGAGGAAACTGTCTTTTCAGTTTCCTCATTTGTTCGTAAAGTCCATTTTGGAATCTGGAGCCTGGAGATTTCAAAGTGATCTGGGAGGGATGAAATCTCCAATCCTGGGTCCATTTGTTCTTAACCCCCAGCACACTAATTGCACAGATGTGTGCAGGCCTTTTTGTAGAGGCCTAACCATGGTTCTAGGCAGACAGGAGGTCATTCCGCAGGAGTCAGGAGGGCTCCACCTAGGAGAGGTGGGAGCCAGAGCAACGAGGGGCTGTATACCTGAGAGAGCCAGGAGGTTGAATATTTGTTTCATATGTTTTGATGGTGGATACCCCTGCATGGGAAATATATGGTATGGAACTTTCCTTTAAATAAAATTGGGCTAAAAAGCCCTTAAAAGAGAAAAAAAAAAAAAAAGCGAGTGTCTTTGTGCTGTAAAAGTTTTACCACTTGATGCTAATTCTCACCGTACTTTCAATCATGCACATACTAGGGCCAATTTAGACAGGAGCCAATTAGGGCTCATGTACACTGCAGCTGATAAACTCATGTTTAGGAACTGTTCAGCGTTTTTTTCAGCAGCCCCTGAACTCACCCTAATGATTTCCTATGTGTCCATGTACACATCTTCGTTTACAGTCATATGCAGTCATTTGAGTTTACAGTTTTTTTTGAACACAAAAAACTTGCGTTCAGCAATCGATTTTATCAGCTTTTCAAAAGCAAAACACTTGTAAACGTGGCAAATCGCATTTATAAGCGGTTGAAATTTTTTTTTAACTCTTCCAGTTCCCCATGCTGTCTAAAGCCTTTTTTCATCATGAAGAAAGGTACTCAGATCGTCAAAACGCCGAACACAGGATGTTCCTACCAAGCTTGTCACACATTGTAATGACCAACTCACACCTCAGACCTCTCCCACCCTTGGAAACAAAAGATATGTCAATGACCATTCACACCTCAAAATTGTCATGCAGACACCTTCTCACCTTTGGAAACAAAAGAAATGTTAATGAGCAACTCACACCTAAGCTAATCTCAAACACATCTCTCAACACATACTGC